ATTATCTGTATGGCTCAAGATTCGAAGTGTTCAGTGACCATAAGAGTTTGAAGTACTTGTTTGACCAAAAAGAACTGAACATGAGGCAACGAAGGTGGCTAGAGTTGTTAAAGGATTATGATTTTGGGTTACATTACCATCCGGGAAAAGCTAATGTTGTAGCTGATGCCTTGAGCCGCAAGACTTTGCATATGTCAGCAATGATGGCTAAAGAATTAGAGTTGATTGAGCAATTCAGAGATCTGAGTTTAGTTTGTGAAGTAACACCGAAGAGTGTAAAGTTGGGCATGTTAAAGATTAATAATGATTTTCTGGACAGCATTAGAGAAGCTCAGAAATTAGATGTGAAATTGGTAGATTTAATGCCTGGAGTAGATTATTCGGAAGATAATGATTATCAGTTGGATGCGCAAGGTGTGTTGAGATTTCGTGGTCGTATTTGCATTCCTAATGATGCAGATATGAAGAAAGCGATCTTGGAAGAAAGTCACAGAAGTAAGTTGAGTATTCATCCAGGAGCGACAAAAATGTATAATGATTTGAAGAATCTGTTTTGGTGGCCTGGTATGAAGCGTGATGTAGCACATTTTGTGTATGCATGTTTGACTTGTCAGAAGTCGAAAGTTGAGCATCAAAAACCTACTGGGTTGATGCAACCGTTAGAAATTCCAGAATGGAAATGGGACAGCATTTCGATGGACTTTGTAACGGGTTTGCCGAACACTTTGAGAGGATGTGATTCTATTTGGGTGATTGTTGATAGGCTTACAAAGTCAGCTCACTTTATTCCTATTAACATCACTTTTCTAGTATCGAAGTTGGCAGAGATTTATGTTAGAGTGGTTGTTAAGTTGCATGGTGTTCCGTTGTGTATTGTGTCGGATAGAGATCCGCGGTTTACTTCTGAGTTTTGGAAGAGTCTGCAAGAGGCTTTGGGTTCTAAGTTGAGGTTGAGTTCGGCATACCATCCTCAGACAGATGGTCAGACTGAACGGACCATTCAGTCTTTAGAAGATTTGCTGAGAGCGTGTGTCCTTGAGGAAGGTGGTTCGTGGGATACATACCTTCCGTTGATAGAGTTTACTTATAACAATAGTTATCACTCTAGTATCGGAATGGCACCGTTCGAAGCTTTGTATGGTCGGCGGTGTAGGACTCTGTTGTGTTGGTATGAATCGGGAGAGAGTGTGGTACTCGGACCGGAGATTGTTCGAGAGACTACCGAGAAGGTGAAGTTAATTCGAGAAAAGATGAAAGCTTCACAGAGTAGGCAGAAAAGTTATCATGATAAACGCAGGAAGGATTTAGAATTCGAAGCAGGAGATCATGTATTTTTGAGAGTCACGCCTGTGACCGGTGTTGGTAGAGCTTTGAAATCTAAGAAGCTTACTCCTCGTTTCATTGGTCCGTACCAAATATCGGACAGGGTTGGGAAGGTGGCATATCGAGTGGCGTTACCGCCAAATTTGTCGAATTTACACGATGTATTTCATGTGTCACAGCTCCGCAAGTATATTTCAGACCCGTCGCATGTCATCTCCATTGACGATGTGCAAGTACGCGAGAATCTTACTGTGGAGACGAAGCCTGTGAGAATTGATGATCGGGAAGTGAAGACGTTACGAGGTAAAGAGATTGCTTTGGTGAAAGTAGTCTGGTTGGGAGCTGCTGACGAAAGCTTGACGTGGGAACTAGAGAGCAAGATGCGGGAGTCTTATCCCGAGCTGTTTGATTAAGGTAATTTCGAGGACAAAATTCTTGTAAGTAGGGGAGAGTTGTAACGCCCGTTTTACTTCGATTAAATTCAATTATGACTTTGCTATGTATCGTTGCGTCGTAGTCGTAGTTGAGTATGTGTTTGGATCGAAGGAAGGAATTGAATCGGTCGAATTGTCGGAAAAATTCTGGTTTTGTCAGAAAACTTTGAAAATTCATATCTCTTGATCCGTAAGTCGGATTTGACCCCCGTTCGAAGCGTTGGAAAGCTAAAAAGATGTTCTATCTGGAAAAAAATGAAATTTTGCTGCTATGACGATCGTCATAGGAGTGTGACGACCGTCACACGAACGAAAACTGCAGTTATGCAGAATTTGAACGTGTTCTGGTGGAATGAGATTTTGTAGCAAAAATATATTCTCGTAGACTCTTTTACCCTCAATTACATTATTTTTTGGGAAAGGAAAGACGGAAAAGAGAAGTTACGCATTGAGAGAAGTGGAGAGCGAAGAATCATCCATCGGCGAATTCGGAAGATTTCTGCAGAAAAATCACCGTAGAGCAGAAGCGGAATCGGAAAGCGTGGAATTGACCTCAATTCTAAGGTAAGGGTGGGGTTCAATTCTATAACCGGGAGTATGATCGAATTCATGTAGGGAATCGAGTCATAGGTATAGTTTTCGTTAATCGATAAATATTAAGGAAAAGGTCTCCCTAATGGGACAAGATTTCTATGTAGGAATGAATGTGTTATGTAGTTATTAGTGCGATGCTCTAAGGTTTTCCTTATGGGCAAATACGTAGAACGAATATGCTATACGGTTATTCGTACAACGCTCTAATGGTTTTCCCTAATGGGCCAAAAAGGACAGTCACCTGGTTGTGATTGATTTGTAATTAATTGTGTGAGAAAACGTCGTAATGTTGTTATTACGATAATATGCTGAATTCTTAATTGTTGATACGATGTTGTAATGTTCCTTTACATGAATAGTTGGGATGATGAACATATGATGCATATGAAATAGCAATGTTCTGTTATGGACGTTTTGTTGTAGGCTTGATGCCTTGTTGCATAGTCGGTGAGGTTGTGGTCCATAATAGAGGTATTTCATGGCATAGCATATTAGCGATGGCCTGTATTGGCGGCCCTTGTGGCAAATTCTGTGATGGCCTGTATTGGCGGCCCTTAGTGGCAAATTCTGCGATGGCCTGTATTGGCGGCCTTGATGGCAAATTGGTACCACATGCATATGCACAGTTGATTCGCATTGTTGAGTCACATGAAGTTGCATAATTATGTTAGTTGTATATTTATGTTGTTTTACGTGAGGTATGGAATGTTGCAGTTGTTGTCGATGATGTTTATGGTTTCGAAACTTATAATGCTGTGATGAGTTTCTGGCATGTTTTCTATCATGCTCTATGTTATATTATTGATATCTCACCCTTTTCCGTTGTATGTTACCTCCTCTGGTGGTAATTTGCAGGTAGTCAGGAATAGAGCGTAGTTTCCATTAAGGTGTCGTTGGTCGCTCTGATACGTAGCACTCTTGGGGGGATGGACGATCACTGTTATTATTTTAGTCGATGTTTTTGTTGATTGAACTTGTTACGATGTTTTTATTAAATTGTTTTAAGAGAACATGTTGTATACTTTATCGAACTTCCACCGGAAGTAATGACGAGTTGTTTTATGATTAAATGGTTAAGTAATACATTGGTGATTGTTCATCTAATTTCGTGCTACGTATGATAATTGCAAGTTGTTGCATAATGATCGTTGTCTGTCAGGTTGAAGTGTAACATCTCTGATGTGAGGAATTTTGCCCGTGTGAAGACCGTCACAGGCTCATGACGACCGTCATGCAGTCAATGTTTGCGCTGTTGCGTTTTGTTTGTTATATGAATTGTTGTTTTTCCTATTATCCGCAAGTTTAGATTTGGGGTGTTACATAACACTCTTTCGCCATTTCCCAATTACTTATTACCAAAGCATGTTTTGTAGCAAGTTTTATGGTGAATAAGGGTCCATATTTGTTATCCATGGTGCCTAATATTATAGGCCACGCACCAGAAGCCATGGGAGGTTCTCTACTTTGGAAGGAGGAAAATGAAAAAAAGAAAGTATGAATAGTAGAGAAAGAAATACTAGTGTAGTGATATTTTGGAAACTCGGAACAAAATCCATTTTGGCTATAGTTGATGTTTTGGGTATGAAGTTGTTTGGAGAATTTTTATACTAATTCTATCTTATCCAAAAGTATAGTCTTGTTATAAAACTTAGATGAAGAAAATAGAATAAAGGAGATAGACCGTGACTGAAAGGTCTTATAGTCTCATGATTACATTAAAGAGAATTGAAGGAAAAAAAACTTGTACTAAAAATACATGTGAAGCTTGATTCTTCACACCTCACTGTAGGTACTGCTGGCACTCATGTTTCCCATTTCACAAAATAATGAACTCAATTTTGTGTTAGAAGACAATTTTTAATAGGTTTGAGATCAAAAAGTGGCGTCAAATTTTACAACTAGTTAATCATTTTGAGGTTGTCCTACATCAAATTAGTTGTGGAATACTGTGAATTTAAAAGCACCAAACACAAGTTGCCGGCCACAGAGCATGTTCTATCCTTTGTATATGAGCTGGATAAGAGAATAAAAAATCTTGGTTTGTGTTACCTACCTAGGAAATCTGTTATACATAGTGAGAATTATACTATTATTGTTTTATCTACAACTAACCTACCCTATGTTTTTCATTAACAGAAACCTAAATTGCTAACTTGCACTGTATGTGGATTTGAGCTGTTGATAGATTAGTACTCTATTTATGCATCATTGCACATATTTGACACTTAATGATTAGCCAGTAATGGCACAACAATGTACAAACCAAAACCTGAACCATCTAGTACATTACTACTAAAATAACAACATTTTCCATTTTTCCTTTTGTAAATTCTATGTTGAAAGTGATTTGATTTTAAATATAAGTGTTTTTTTGGTTATGCGTTGTCAACATACGTTGAAAAAAACCAGCTCCAAATTGAAGAATCTGCGGTACACAATGGGTTTCCAAACGCATAATTAATGTGTATGCTTCAAAGGGAACAACCAAACTAATGCAAATGTAAATATAAACAATGTGATAATTTCTTGAAGGACAATTCAGTACATTTAATACTTGACGTTTACACCAATCGTGCTATGTTTCATAAACAAAATAAAAATAAAACTAATTAATAATGAAAATTAAATAAAACCAAGACTGATGATAAATTATACACTTTTAACACCTCCCTTGCCCATCTCAACACCATTGTCATCATGTTCAACAAATCTAGACCAGTATGGGTGTGATTTCCATACTCTATCCATCTCTTCAATCGGTATTCCCTTAGTTTCAGGAAGCATGGTGAATATGTAAATTGTCATCACCACAACAAAGAATGCAAAGAACAGGAACAAGCCAAACTTCATGTGACAAAGCATGGTCAAGAAAATCTGTGCAACTAAGAAGGTGAAGAGCATGTTGACTGACACATTGACACTCTGCGCGGCGGAACGAATCTCCAATGGAAAAATCTCACTAGGCACCAACCAGCCAAGAGGACCCCATGACCAAGCAAATCCAGCAACATATACACATATGAAAAACACAACTATTATAGCATACCACTTTGGTAAATCACCAGGTTCTCCACTTGTTCCAAACTTAGCCGCAATAGAAATTGCAACTGCAACCTGCAAAACATTAACAAACATTGGATTAATGAAACAGTTGACACAAACATTTGAGTACTAGGTTGTAAGTTAAAATGGTACCTGACAAATAAGCATTTGAGTACCGCCTTCAAGGAAAAGAGCTCTCCTACCCCACTTATCAACTCCATAAATTGAGACACAGGTAGCAACAACATTAACAACCCCGGTAATAACGGCTGACATAAGTGAAGCATCATCCTTAAACCCAATTGAGTTAAACAACACAGGCGCGTAAAACATAATAACATTAATCCCAGTAAACTGTTGGAAAAACGGAATCAACACAGCCATACTAAGCTGAGGCCTATATTTCCTCTGCAACAAATTCCTCCAAGGATTCTCAACCTGCATCGAAGTTTCACTAGCAGCCACAAGATCATTAAACTCTTCATCAACATCCTCAACACCACGGATTCTCTTTAGTTGAGCCTTGGCACCATCACGATCGCCACGTTCAATCATCGAATTAGGCGTGTCAGGAAGGATTAGCGAACCAATGGTTATTATAAGCGCAGGAACCATAGCACCACCCAAACTCAACCTCCATCCCCATCCACCTTCAATTTTCGCAAAAAAGTAGTTCAACACATTGGCCACAAGTATACCAATTGTAATCGATAACTGAAATCCAATATTCAATGCTCCTCTGTACTTGTACGGAGCCATCTCAGACAAATAGAGTGGCACAGACTGTAAAATTCAAATCAAAAAAAACATAATTAAGAATCACTAACCAATAATTCAATATACAACTTATTTGAATAAGTCACGTTGTAGGACCATACCACTAGGTTTAAAACTTTATTTATAATATTACTATTATTATTATTATAGTATTAAGATTTGGAAAATGATGCAAAATAGAAAGAAAAACGAGACACAATAATTGTTATATATAAGCAATCGCATTCAACGCATGTTAGCAGAGAAAAATAAGGCGAAGATTCTTCCATAACAACGCAACAAAACAAAGTCCAATTTGCAGAGTTCAAAAAGGCTAAGTCAATATCAACGGATACAAAATAACACTAATTTGGATATTTTCAAATTATTTATTACACTTTCGTATAAAATTTAAATACGCATTACTTTATTCAATAATACCATAAATTTTTTGTAACTACTTACTATACTTTGGCTGAAAAAATTTACTGTCAATTACCAAAAATGAAAACAAAACAAATAATGATACCTGATTAGCAAACCCGATACCGAACCCGAGCAAGATCCGACCCACGATCAACATAGCAACGTTTTGAGCGAAGCCATTAATGAGAGCACCGACAAGAAAAAGCAAACCTCCGAAAAGCATGGAAAGTTTCCGGCCAAACCTTCTGGTGATCGTGGACGCAACCACCGAAGACAAAAGCGCCGCCAGGTACAACGAGGAAGTAAACAACGTCAGTGTCTCACTATCATATTGACAGTACTGGTTTTTCGAATGTTGCGCGTTTTTCTTCCGGTACACCGCCGGAAAAAACTTCTCAAGAAATGGATTCATTGACGTAACACCACCTAATCAAAGACAAGTCAAAACAAAACAATATATATATTATTCACTGAAAGAGATCACAGAAAAAGTGAAGATTTATATGAATATTATATATACCAGAAATTCCTATATCATAGCCGAAGATTAAACCACCCATGGCTGCGACGACACATGTTATGGTGACGAACGGAGTTAGGTTTCCGGGGTACTCCTTGTTCCCCGCTCCGATGGGGATTCCGGCGGCAGGCATTTTTTCTCCGATGAAGAATAGTGAAAGAAAGAAAAAGAGTAAAGAAGAGAAAGTAGGTTCTTGATCAAGAGTTGAAAGTGTTTATATAGAGGGATGAGTGGAAAATTTTGGCTTTATCTTTGTTTTTGTTGAGCTGTCAATATAATCAATTACGATTTATTACTAGTATTTTATTTCTTTTTTTAAATAAATAAAGTATCTTTTTTAAGTTAATAGAGTATCAATTTATTTATTTCTAAATTATGATTCCTTTTTATTTCAAAATTTGGGGATAAATTAGCTATTATACACGTCTGATCATAGTTATCCATGTGTGTGTTTTCCTTTATTTTATTTATTTATTTTTTGTTTATTTTATTCCATTCATTTGGAACTTTATGTTTGAGATAATTAGCAAAAATCATGTGAATGATATAATTGATTGTTAGGGTTTTTTTTATCTTCGTCTTTTTGTGAAGAAAATCTAATTATTTAATAACTTTATAATATATGATTCTGTATGTGAACAGATTAGGAAACGTTTATAAAAATGGAAATAAGTTAATAAAAATTAATAACGGTAGCTAAAAAAAGTAAAATTAAAATAAAATGATAGTAACGTTAATCATATAAAAATAACTGGTAGCAATTAAATATTATATTGCATCTAAAAAATACTTGTACTAGTGTACTAGTAGCATTGAAATGCATTCTGGTATAATTTATTGTTTTTGGAAATTAAAAATAGATAGCGAAAATTAGGTTAACTTCTCATGCTCACCCTCGATGGTTCATTCCGTTTTTTATTTTAATATCAATCAATCTCATGCTCACCCTCGATTAATCAATCTCCTTACAAAAGTTTCATGCAGACGTTGGACCAATAAACAGATTACTCCTTTCACAAATAAGGGTAATTTCATATATTTTTTTAAGAAAATAGAGTATATTATGAATTGATTTTTGGAAAAGAAGCATTTGAGACAAAATATCATGTTTGACTAACAAATGTTAGATTATGAAGTTTATTATAATTTAGTTTTTTTTAGTTAAGTTGATTAGGGCAATTTGTTTTGACTTTGTTAAGAAGCTTTTTATATATAATAATTTACTTTCATTTATTTTATTTTATTTTATTTTTAAAAATAATTTTCATAAAAATAATTTTTAAAATATTAAAAAAATTAAATTTGCTTTTTATAATTTGAAAAGTTAATTTTGACATGCTATAACATAAATATACATTATTAAATACTAAAACATATTCAAAATGACAATTTGTAGTGTTATATTTGGTAAAGTTTAAAGTAGGGCGCCATCGCCTAACAATTGGGTTGCTCAGAAAGAATCAAGGAGAATCGCCCAATAGGCTCCACCAATGTGGAAGTCAAACTAGAAAAAGTCTCTGCTGATTTCGAGAAGATAGACGGTCAATAACCTCCATCAGTGAGAGGGGAACAATTAAGACCACGTCCATGAGGTAAAAACTAAGGGTGGCAAATGGGCATGTCTACCCCGTTTAGGCCCACCCCGCAAAAGCTCACAAAAAAACGGGCGGAGCGGACATAGTTGGGGATGAGGGCCTAAAACCTAGGTCCGCCCCGCAAAAAAAGGAGTGCAGAACGGGAAAACCCATAGGCATGACACCTTTTAAGTCTAAAAATACAAAGTTTTATGTTAATACTCGTGCCCTCAAAAGCCCGCGAAGAAACAGGGCGAAATGACGCGGGCACATTAATGGGTGAGGACTTAAATTTTTGACCCGCCACGTACTAAAATGCGGGCAAAAACGGGCATGCCTAATGGGTCGGGCCTGTTTTGCACCCCTATTAAAAACCCTAGGTCCTCTGGACCTTTATAAATAAGTATTCCCTCAAAGGGATAAGGGGTGACTCTAAGTCTTACACGTTCTTCACAACCTAAAGTGAAATACGCTTATAACCACCATAACATATTCAACTAAAGTAATCGCCCGCCTGCAACCCAGCAGCGCCAGCCTATTACAGAATCTCTCACTTCACGTAAGCGGGGTATCTTAAACAGTCTTAAAAACCGTCGTATATAGATACTTGCCACCGTGAGCTAGCTCTCACCATCCAAACGTGTAATGTACCTACTAGGACCTTTGAGTCTCCCTACTCTTGCAGGGGGAACATGCACACCATGTAAATTTTGACCAATACAGTGACGTCTACCATGTGACCCAAGAAAACTAATCTAGACAACACCTCTTTTTAGCAACCATCACCTTATTTATTGTACCTTCAACTTTTACACCTAACAATTATCGGACATGGTGAATAGAGGAGCTTCATCCCCTACTCTTAAGGGTACCAACGGTACAGGTGATGTCGATGCCATAACAGAGATTTGAACCATCATTGACGAATTACGACACCACAATTGGACGTTGGATAACGATATCCAAAACATCAGACAACGCCAACATAAGGTCAACCCCCCAGAAGAGGTGGAACTATTAGATCCCCAGCCACTCTCGGAAAAAATACGGGGGGCCCTGTTTCCGAAGGATTCAAATATCCATCCTTGGCCAAGTTTGATGAACGCATGGATCCATATGAACATGTCGCCTCCATCAACGTACAAATAGCCATCATAGGAGCATCAGACTTTATTTAAGTGTAAAGTTTTTCGGGCACCCTCAGGGAGGTCACCTTCAGATGGTACATGGGTTTTCCATGTGCCTTTATTAACAACTTTCAACATTAGGTAAGGGAGTTGGTACAACAGTTCGCCGCCAGTCGCCATATAAAGATGTCCAATAACAATTTATTTAACATCCGCCAAGGTCCATCAGAATTGTTGAGGGACTATTTCACCCACTTCAATGAAGCTACCATCAAGGTCGTCCCTCCGAATCAAGAAATGTTTGTGGGGGAGTTTAAACTGGACTTAAGACAATCCCTCGCCCAAAATTCAGCGCTCACACTACCTGAAGTAGTTGCCAGGGCGAAGTGCTACATCAAATGTGAGGAAAGCAATGCTAAAAAGAAGCCTCGCGGCATCAACGAGCCTGTCCCCTGCGCCGAGAGCTCTTATTCCTCAATTGATTTTCTGATGTGAGAATTTCCTTAATTGACATCGGCATCACTAATAGATTCACAACAAAGAATGGATCCCATTGAGTATCTAGAACTTGATGCCTCCATCCTAGAAGAACTAAGAATAATGTTAGTAGTTAACTCCGGCTCAATCCTATTTGGGATCTAGTTGTTTAATGAGTGAATCAAGGTCGAAAACTATGAAGGAGAGAACAAAATCTTAATGTTTTCATAGATTTCGTTTAACCGTTTTTTCTTCCTATGCTTTGACCCAATACAAGGCCCAATAAGCCCAAGGGGTGAACATGAAATTGGGTCAGATCTCTCCTTATCCAGGCACACCAAACAAATCTTATTGTTGTTTAAAATTGTAGATATATTCTTGACCGATCCCTCCACTCTAAGTTCCCTAGCCTCATACGTATGTCTCATCACTACGTCAACCCTTTCAAAAACAGTAAATGTTTGATGACCCCCAATCACTTTAGCATGGCCGCTGTCACTATTCCTCCTTCTAAAATGCTCCTTTTCACTAGATCGTTCAAATCTCACAAAGTCATCCACCTCTACTCCAACATGTAGCCCCATGTGCCCATACTTTTTGATATTATTCGCCGAAACATCCTTTCCCAAGTCCTGAGAACTTCCACTATCATGATTACCACCCAGACTACCTTAGGGGTTGTGTTACCGGATTTCACTATCCTTAACCTCCTTGGAGTTATTCGAATCACCATCACCCCCATCTAATTTTGATTCCTCCGATTCACTCTCCGTCCGTGCCACCTTAGGAACAACAATCCTTTTTGGTCCATGAAAATCTTCCACCAATTTAATTCTGTATATCTTGTTGTTAATCTCGATGTTGAATGTTTCGTTAAGGTTTAAAGAATACTTTGTCTTGATTAAAAATCTAGAAACTTTTAAATGCCTGTGCATTTCAGTTTCCTCATCACAACATACATACTCTTTCACACACCCATAAATAAATTTGAAGAACTGAAGGCACCGTGCAGATCAAGGCAAGCTGAAACATTTTAACCATGTAAGTATTCCATTATTGATATCCTCTGGCAACCATGGATGAATATCACAAAACCATTGAGAAATCCAAGTTTCCTCCTCCTGGATCAGTGCACTTACCTCACCTAATACAATTTCTTCAAGCAAACAAAGATTAGCCCCTAATGGGGCAGCTTTAATCCAAAAATATCCTTATGCGTTTAATGTTTCCTCAATATTGTAGGTAGACGTTGGTTTCTTCACCACTCCAACGAAAGCCTTTTCAAATATAGTTACCCTATTCTTTCCGATGTTGAATTGAAGATGAGAAAACTTCAGTTTTTCCTCCGATTTTGCCACCCAACAATTTTTGAACCTTTCTCGTACATCCTCAACCACACCAGAATGTTTCTTACTCACTACCTGGGCATAAGATTTACTAGCTTTGTTGACATTCCAATTGTTATTAAATGACCTTAATCCCCATCCATTACCCTCCGGCTCCATCATTCTCTTACGCGAAACCTCCACTTCACCCCTCCCTGAAACCTAGGTACATTAGCAAAGAGCTTCCTACCTTGAATTTGAATGTTTCTAGTTTTTCCGTCATAACTCTTTCATCCAACACCTTTTTATATTTGACAAAGTTGTATCGTTTGCTCTGTTTGTCTCTCCTTGCTGGTATAAACACCTCCATCATAAGACCATGCTCTTTGAACACTTCTTCCATTTCCATGGCTCCAAAGGAATCCAGGAACTCGGTGAAGAACAATGAGGATAGTGCTTCAACATCCCCCATATCTTTGCCTCTCCTTGCAGTCCACACATAACTTTTGTTGATGTTGTCAAAAGGCCTTATGCGCCTCACTTCCATCTACTCACCTTGTTTAGCCATATTAGATCTTTATTTTCTATCTAGATTCATCCACTTAACAACTATAAACCCTGGAAAAGTTT